CCAACACCTCAAAAGAATTTCGCTCCAAAAAATGGCTGTGACGATCGTGAGGAACGCCAGGCTGTTCACAAGCACCGACGACTCCGAAGGTCTCGTGGCGGGATGTCTGGTGTTTCGGGATGGGGTGATCGAGTACGTCGGTCCCGAGGGTGAAGAGACGAGCATCCTCGCGCAGACGATGTTGGCTTCTGACGGTGGGGGCATCAGCGTCACAGAAGTCGACGTCGCCAACCGTGTCGTGACGCCGGGCTTCATCGATGGGCACGTCCACATGTTGCACTTTGGGATGTCGCTCGGCAAGCTCGATATCATGTCGTGCAAATCCCTTGAGGAGATCCGGCAGAAGATCCGCACCTTCGCAGCCTCACAGCCGTCGGCGCCGCGCATCCTGTGCAAAGGCTGGATCCAGGCTTCGACGGCCGGACAGGCGCTGGCCAGCATGCTGGACGACCTCGACTCTCGCCCGATCTATGTCGAGGCCCTGGATCTACATTCAGCATGGTGCAGCACCGCCGCGCTGGAGGAGCTCGGAGTGGATGCGGCGACGAAGGATCCTCCAGGAGGCACCATCCACCGGGACGCGCAGGGTAGGCCGTCGGGCTTGTTGGACGAAGGGGCGTTGTTTTCGCTCGTGTGGCCGTTCATGGGCAAGACTTTGACGGCGGAACAGAAGCAGACGGCGCTGCACCAAGCCGTAGCTGCTTACACGCAGGCGGGCTACACTGGGGTCATTGACATGGCCATGGACGAAGACGCGTGGGACGCCCTGGAAACCTACCGCGCTCGCCACGGACTTCCACTGCACGTGGCCGCGCACTGGCTCATCCCGTACAGCGACTCGGACGAGGAGATCCAGGACAGACTCGAGAAGGCCATAGAAATGCATGGGAAATTCCACCCCTCTACGTCGCCGTACTTCTGTGTTGTCGGGATCAAGTTGATCGGCGACGGTGTCGTCGACAGCTGCACGGCGGCGCTGAGCCAACCGTACACCCCGGCACCATCGGACCACATCGTCGAACCCATCTGGCCGGCAGACAAGATGTCCAGAGTCATCCGCCAGGCTAACGCCGCGGGCCTGCAGTGTGCCGTGCACGCCATCGGCGACAGGACCATCACGCAGACCATCGACGCCTTTGCGGACCTCGACCGGCCCTTCTCGCGCCGCCACCGCATGGAACATCTCGAGCTGGCCTCGGAGCGCGACGCAAAGAGACTGGGAGACCTGGGAATCACGGCCTCAGTGCAGCCCGTGCATTCGGACCCGGCGCTATTCAAAGCCTGGCCAACCCTCCTCGGCACGCATCGGTGCCGCCGCGCCTTTCCATATCGCGACTTTCTCGACTACGGCGCGCCCTTGGCCTTTGGCACCGACGCCCCCACCGCCGCGCACCTGCCACTCCCGAATCTCTACAACGCCACCACGCGCCAGTCGGCCCTCGATCCAGAGTCGCTCGACAGAACGAACCCGCAGTTCGCCGTGTCTCTGGCAGCGGCGCTGAGGGCCGCCACCTCCGGAGCGGCATATTCCCGCCATGCAGAGGGGTGGACGGGCAGTCTAAGAAAGGGGTCGAGCGCGGACTTTGTCGTGCTCGACACGGACTGGACATCAGAAAGTTTACTTCAGGCGAGTGTGCACGAGACTTGGTTTCAAGGTCAGAAAATGTTCGATACAATATAACAAAATACAACTATAGGAGCCATGGTTTGAGAAAATTCTACTCTCACATGCTGGCTCAGGAAAGGGAGGGAACTTCTTTGAAAGAGTGTTTCATTGCTCTGGTGGCGTATTTGAGAGTCTCAAGCTCAGTAAAAGGAGTGGAAACACTGTATTGCATAGTATGATTTAGGTCTACCAGTGAAACCCCTGCTCTGCCCCTTCGTGTTTGCTCGTATGGCACTAAAAATGGATTGTAGAACACCACCTAGTCTGTGTGCTTCATACTTTATCATCAATGAATACTTTCCCTGTTCGAAACAGTCCTCCTACTAAGAGACGAGAAGAACTTCTCACAACTCCGCCTTGGGTTGGTTTGACGCAGAGTTAGATACTGAGGCAGCACGTTGGACCACACCGAATCTCGTGTTGCCGACATCGAAGACCCTATCCACAGTCAGCTTGGCTCACCAAGGTGTAAGAAACCTTGACTCACGCATAGACGTTCTGCAAGAAGGTATCCCCAAAGATATCAAAATTCTGGTCGCCGCGCGATTGAATACCACCGTACACCATGTTGCCGTCAGAAACCCCTGCAAAACCGAGATGCTGTTTCTCGATGGTGATCGGAGTATCGCCCACCATGAACGTGACAGTCGGGAGATCGCTTTCGGAAGTGTTTGCAGGGAACACCCAGCCTTGCTGACTGCTGTCCTGTTTGGCACCAGGAATGGCACTATAGACTGCCTCGCAAACTTCATCGGAGGTGAGAAGAAGGGTAGTGCCTGTGTCCGCAATTGCCTTATTTCCGGAGAGCTGAATAGTCTTTCCATTCACTTGAGCAGAAGTCGAGTCGAACATCCAGAAGCCCTGAGAGTTGTCGATAGGGGTGTAGCCGATATCAGATCCGGACGGGATGACCGATCGATCAATCTGGCCAAACGTGTCTGAGATTACGTCAGAACCAATTTCAATATAGAACAGCAGTCAATAGTTACAGAATGAGTCCTCGTTTTGGTCCTTGATGGATCCCAGATAGCAGGTAAACAACTCAGCATTCTGAGGGATATCTTCTTGAGCAATCATATTTTCAACAGGTGTCTGGACTGGGGAAGGCTGCACGGTGTTGATGGAGCCGAAAGCGAGGCCCAGCAGGCCGTCGGAGGTAGCATCCTGGGTGAACTGAGACGACAACTTGGTGGCGAGCTCAATGGCTTGGTTCTCGACAGTGATATTACCAATCTCAACGTTGTCCGTTCCAACACTGCCAGATGCGGATGACTGATCACCATATTGAATTTGCCAGGTGGAGCCTTGAGAGGTCTTGAATGTGGATGACTTGGAGGGGTCAAAGATTGCATGGCCTTTGCCTGCAGACAGTGTGCTCTGAGGCAGCTCCGTGGACCAGCACCAGAGGTCGGAAGATCCTGAGTCGAAGTCCTATAGAGGTCGTCAGCGACAAAGTCTGGGGTGTTCTCCAAACACTCACCAAGTTCAGCGTCTGAGCTGGTGTACCAATCTTGACAGGACAGGTGTACAGGGAATCATTCTGTTGATCAGTCGCCGTGCTGCCAAACTAGTCAGTGTATGTGAGTACCATGGGAGATGTGATAACTTACACTTCGCCTTGGGTGCCATCGGCGTTCTGCTTTACGAGCAGCTTCTTGCCTTTGACAGCAGAGTAAGGACCTGTGATGGTGGGAGTGATGCGGTATTTGTTCAGAAGGTAGACATAGGACTTGAGTCCGTTGCGTTTGTAGTGAGGATTGCGTCGGATAGGCACCCGGAGGAGAGATGCCATGTTGGGCTATGTGGTCTTGCGGGTGGCTTCGAATAGGGATAGTGAATGCTGCAGGAGAGAGAGATAGAGAGAGGTTTTGAGAGACTCGAAACTAAAACTGAAGGTGGGAGATGTGCTGGGAGTATTTGTAGTCAGTTCAATGGTTTTCTCAGAAGAGGATGACGCATTGCCGTTGCCATTCGAGGGAGGAAATTAAACAGGGAAAGCCCATCATGGTGGACTGTGACATCCCAGCATTCCTTCGCATTGGCTTGGTGAACATCTTCCTTGGATGCAAGGTTCCAGGAGCCAGTTGAGATTCAGGTACGACAGATCAAAGGTGACTCCGGGTCGCTGCTGGTCTGCCCTGTTTCAAGATGCGGCACGTACTGACCCTGTACAGCCTCACTCCAGCACCCCGGGAATCTCTGCCCAGGGCCTGCACATCCTTTGACACCCAGTACAGCTCTACATAGCATTGGCACCCATCCCTGTTGTCGGTAATAGACATGCTGCGACATACCCAACGACTGCGACATAGGCGGTGCCACTTGTACCAACCTGAGAAGCCCAACCCGATTGTGGAGCGTCGATCACCAAGTCACAGCGTCGATCATGGCGTCGTCACTGTCTTCGTCATTGCTTGAACCAAACAAGCTTTACATCAGTCAACCGGAGCCAACTGTAGCATGCTTCTTCGCAGCGGCTCTCCCATACGATGTATCTTGGGGTTTGTACAGTTCCTTGCACAGGAGACGAAGTGGCGGTCAACCACGAATATCATAAGATGGATGGCGGTTGACTGCGACCCGAGCGCTGTCAACTCCGGTATTTGCAGTTTGCAACTGTCACACAAGCTGATGTACATGCGACTGAAACATTGGCCAGCAGGTACCAGCTTCAGAGACGAATTACATCACCTACGGCCTATTATGGAGTCGGCAATGCTGAGATTCGTCAAGATTCAGAGGGATGAAAAATAGTGATATTGAAGAGTCGAATAAGGAGGTCCTCGTCAAGCTACAGTGGCCATACACCGAAGAGATGGGGCATAACCAAACCTGTCAGTCTTTCACTGGGCCAGGAACAAGTCGAACTTCCGCGCAGATCACCCTCCATCCTCCGAGAGTCCCGCAAACTGGACCAGTTGCGAAAATATCCTTAAACACCACTCCCAAGACCGACTTCTCTTGGGGTAGAAATTGTGGAGTCGGAACTCTGCTCCCCAGGGGCAGAAATTCAACCAACCACAGCACCAGGGGATAAAGTGTCTTGTCTCTTGACTCCGATATAACACTATTTTCTACCCCAAATATTGCATGGCAGAAGCTCAAGGTGGACATATGGAACACGTCGAGATGACAAATTGAATATTGAACACTCCTCTATACAGGATAATGCTGCGGTCGGTGGACGCAGCAACGCGAAGATGATAGGTATAAATGGACCTGGCAGCTCAACCTCCAGTATTTGGGAACGACTCCTCAGACTTGATCTCAAACCTTCTGAGCTCGACAATATATCTTTGTTCATTGCAGTACCATTGATCCTAGCAGACGTACTATGTCTCCCCAAGAGCAGACGGTGTTCCGGTATACGTCCGGCAGAGGCTTTGACAGGCTGCAAGCATTCAAAGAGCCTATCCCCACCATTGGCGACTATGAAGTCCTCATCAAGATTCACAGCGTCTCCATCAACTACCGCGACATTGCCATAGCCCATGAGACATACCCACTCGCGGTCAAGGATCAGGTTGTGCCGTGCTCCGATATGGCGGGCGAGGTTCTTCAGGTCAGCAAGCAGGTGCACGACATTTCAGTGGGCGACGCTGTCATCGCTGCAATCAGTTCTTCAACCTTGTATGGTCCAGTAAAGGACCATCAAAACACACTTGGAGGCACCGTAGACGGCGTCCTGAGGGAATATATTGTCCTGCCCGTACATCAGGTGATCAAGCTGCCCAAATCGTCACATAGCTTGACTGAATGGTCGGCCACGGTGGGGACGGGAGCAACAATCTGGAACTGCTTCTATGGCTGCTTGCCCTTGAAGCCAGGTCAGACAGTCCTCATTCAAGGTATGAGGTCTTGAACCCCTAGAGAAAGCCAGCACCTTACAGATTGCAGGAACTGGAGGAGTGGCTTTAACCGCTCTAGTTTTTGCGAAAGCAGCGGGAGCAACCACAATCATCACATCTTCCAGTGATGAGAAGCTCGCAAAAGTCAAAGCCACATACGGCGCCGACCACACGATCAACTACAAGACTCATCCAGACTGGGCGGCGGAAGTGCGGCGCATCACCGATGGCGAGGGAGCAGACCATGTCATTGAGAATGGCGGGATTGGCACAATCCGACAGAGCATTGAGTGCGTGGCAATGGGCGGCATCATATCCTTGGTCGGCTTTCTCGCCAGCATCCCACAAGACCAGGTGCCCGATGTGACATTATTGGCCATTTCCAAGGGGGTTGTACTCCATGGCATTCTGGCCGGGTCCAAACAGCAACTCGAGGAAGCCGTGCAGTTCATTGGTAAACGGAATCTGACCGTGCCAGTGGGCAGGACGTTTGCATTCAATCGGGACGACATCGTTGCGGCGTTGCAATATGTTGCCTCTGGTCAGCATACTGGCAAAGTTTGCATAACCCTGAACTAAGGAGTTTGTACGAGAAGTCGGAGGCCAGAGCCAATGACCGTGTCAATCTCAAGAACATGGACACCTTGAAAAACTTGAGCCCAGAGCCTCAGCGTCGTTGTTGCCATGCGCTGATAGCGCGATGATTCGTCTTCCGGTACATCCAGCGTCTCTGCCAGAGAAGTCTCCTTGATGATTCCGCTAATGATGTCCAAGAGCTTACGCTCCGTTTTGCGTAGTGCGTCCGGCCCACAGGATTTAGTGATCGTCGCGATCATGGCAAGCCAATCCCTCAGCAACAGGGCACATTCGAGGCTGCTCAGCGAGTACTCGATGCTCCGGAATGGTAATCGGATGTGGGATATCAACTCGAGGCCCAATCGAACCGGTATACTCAAAGCGTGTGCTGCATGAAGAATGGCTCGATCCAGGCGAGATGACCTGTCCAGACAACTCCTTTCAAGCACAAGGTCGTTGACTTCTCGGGACCAGAGGATCCGGCACGGCGCCATGTTAGAGCTTAGTCGAATATAGGCCCACCGAAGCAGGGCCGTTGCATTCAGACCCAAGGGCCCTTTCTCCGACAGAGGATCGAGCGTGGACTCGTAGGTGCGCTCCCAGGACAACTGCCACGTCCGTAAGGCGGTCTCAAGCGTGTTCGCCGTCCCTGGGTCAAGAGGACGCCTGATCCCGTCACCATTGAGAAGCGTGAATTCCTGAAGCAGGGAGTGAATGAGTACATAGTTGGCGAACGAAGACACGGGGTATACGCGGCCATGGAGAAGCGACATAAGTGTTGCTTGGAGCCCACGTCGACCGTGGAAATTGCTCCGGAGCCACTGCGATGGACTGCTGGCTTTCCACGATTCCTCACAGCTGGGCAGGGCAAGACATATGTCACCGGATTTTAGCTCTAGAGGGACGTCGTAGGCAAAATGCTGCAGGTTGTGAAGGACGTAAGCAGAGAACAAGGTCCTCCTCCGTTCCTCCGCAGCCACCCACTTACACCAGGCCTGTTCCTTTGCAGTGACGCTCATCAATGAACCATCCACGTATGTTGATTCCAAGGTATCTGTGATTCCAAATTGTATCACCAGCGTGCTTAATCGTTGTCCCAGGAAAATTGCGTCTGGCAACATGTCCTTTTGCGCCCATGACGCGTAGGCGACAAGGAGAATAAGCGTTTGGATCTTCCCTAGTCCGTTTCTCCGCTGCGGAGCTGGCTGATTCTGCGATGACAGAATGTCACTGGATGACTCCAATTCATGCCGGCCGAGATTTTCTAACAGGATCGCTTTCGACATATGGTACAAGCTAGAGGAGCAAGACGTTTCAAACCGATTGAGGGCCCCCGTGGCGGCTGCAGCTAGCAGTAACTCGATGTCAGACTTTGCGACAGAGAAAGTTGCCGAATGAAGGAAAGGGAGACTTTCTTGGGCACAGCGGAAGTACGATTCCAGATTGCGGCTCAAGGAATTTCGTGATGGTAATCGCCAGTCATGAGGAAGAACTGCCGAGTAGGACTCGACTTCGAGACAGAATCCTTCGTAGGCCGACTCGGAGAAAGACCAGGGCAGGATACGCGTGTGATCTGTGAAAGCTCCACCATGATCCTCATCAGTGCTCTGTTGGCGTTCCGCGCCGTCCAAGTCTGGCAGATGGGAGCTGAAATGAGGAAAGTCGGTTGGGCCGGGAGGTTGACTCCGTGCCGAAACGAAGGTGAAAGGCACATTCGTGTCACTGTCGAATAGGGTGGGTGGAAGCATATCTTGCATGAAGAGCTGGGGATCAAAGAAGAGGTCAGGGTCGTCGGTCGTCGTCCGATTGCCATCGAAGTCGCTCAGTTCGTGAAGGTCTTCCTTGCTCTCCTCGACTGGCACTACATCTCGGAGTTGGAAATGGGATAGCCTGAAATGCCGGGAGAGTAGATCTCTGAAAATAGGTTAAGCGCATGGCTTGTATAGGAGTTCAAACACCAGCTCACTGTCTGGTAAAGGTCTGGCCGCATTGGCAGGCGAAGGGCCTCTCACGCGTATCTACCCACTGTCAGGATTGTTCTTGTATTCTCTGGCAACAGTCGTCCTACGTGTGCGCTCATGCCGCAGAAAGTGCTCGCGGCGCTGGAATTGCTTTCCACAGTGAGGGCAAGGTGGCACCACATTTCGTGGCCTTCCTCGAGGCATTTGAACTGTGACTGTCTCGGGACAAAATGAGATGAGGTGCAAAGAAGGAAATAGAGATGTTGAGAAAGCAGGTTGTATTAGCTGAGGCAGGCTAGGGTGAAGTACACGGGCATCTTTTGCTGTCACCCACGAAGAAAGTATCGTGTCGACTTCAATCCAACTACTGCACCATCTCTAAAGGACGCGACAGAAACGAAGGAAAGAGAATATTTTATTGGTGAAGCAAAAACAATCAACAGCTAGGATTCCCACCTGGTCACCCACTGTGGTACTGACTAGCCGGTATCAGGCTTAAGTACGGCTGAGCGAACGGGAAGCCCTGATCTCCTGATCCTATGGTCGATTGCGAGAGAATATGTTCAATTTCAATGTATATACCTTAGGGTGTTAAGTATGCCTGAAGGAAAGCTGAATATCCGTATGTAGGAGTGACATCAGGCTGAGATTTATTGCGAGGCGCGGCCACCCCCGCAACCCCCAACAGTTTGCGAGGCTGCGGTTGACGCCATGCATCCTTAGCAGCCGAGATCTAAACCTGGCGCGCTTGGTCAACCGATTTTCGGCCATGCGTTGAACCGACCACTTCGACACAAAGTTACCCGTTACAAATACACTTCGGTCGTGGGCTCCAGACATTCTTTTGCTTTGCTTTACACCTGGACACCGTTGTCGCGATTGTAACGGGCTGATTTGCTCCCTTCCAATGACTTGAAACCATCATCTCCCGCGCGCATGAGCGGGGAGTCATATCGACACCATGGTCTCGGTCGAATCAACAGCAGCACAGGCAGTATCTGCAGTCACCCAAGGGCCCATCACTTCGGCTTCACCTGCACTCCTAAATTTGACCAACCTCAGAACGGTGGCAGCAGATGTGACATCCTCCTTGTCTCTCCCCCTCGCCAAAAACCCGTTGTTCCGCTTCCCTCTCCGCGTTGCCTCTCAGATCGATCGAGCCCTCCTCCACGTATGGAACCGGTTTATTTTAGAAGGACTCGGTATCAGTAGTCTGGCAAGAGCTGGGACAGCGACCGCTGCTGGCGCTGCTGGCGCCCAAGCCATGGCAGACGCAGCAGTCCAACCGGGCTTGGCTCAGGCCGTGGGAGATGCGGCCGCAGAGAGTTGGTCGACCTTCTTTGCCGAGGTCTTCCAAGCAACGGGCTTCAAGTCTTACTGGGGCATGTTGCACTACCTCAGTTCAAGATGGGCCTTTATATGTTTCGCGGTGGTAAGAGCGAGTGTGTCGGAGACAACAAAGACGTCTGCTGACTTGCGCAGGCCCTGATTCTTAACCGTATCAGCGTTTACGGGGCATCAAGGCAACGAATACAACTCACTTGGACGAGGAGGCTTGCTCTACGGATCGTACCTATTCTGCTATTGATCACCCAAATCCATCATCTTCTGCAGGCCATTCGATGTCAAACCTCACCAGACTACTCGCTATATCGACACGGCGATAACAACAAATACAGCCTCTTGGATTGGTCAACAGACGGTGGCCCGCTGCATACCCTCACATCTACACTACTATTCCCGTCAACAGATGCTCAAGCTTGTGCCGCAGTGGGAATGAGCCGGCCGAGTCCCGACGTTCGCGCACCTTTTGGCTCCTTCTCGCTTCTTTGGCCATCCTTCCTCCGTTTGAGCTTGTCCCATGTTGTTGAAAACTTATCATGCTCTCTACAACAGATACCCACTATGGCAGAGGTCGGGATGTCCGTGTTCGAGCATTCCCTAGCATTCGCCGAGGCTGAGACGATGATCGCCCACACACTAGGTCTAGGCTATTACGGGTCAACGAGATCTGCGGCCAGCAAAGGAAACACCACGTCTCCCAGTCTCGATTCACAGCCTACGATTCCCGCATCAGGTACAATATTAGCTCTTGCGGATGCTACGTCTGCCCTGACGGGTCCGCATCTGCTTGATCGTGTCAATGTCCCGGTAGAAGTCCTCTTGATCACATTGCTCTCGTGTTGCAACTCGCTTTCGTCTCACGTCATTGCTGTTCTTGGTAAACAACGCCAATGGAGACTCGTCAATACTGGAATATGGGCAATGGCTTTCATGGCGGCGTTTGTCTGGGGATTCTGCACAACTAGTGTCATGGTTCGGAGCGGCGATAATGGAGACAACCGTCCTGTCAGCAGCCTTCTACACTTTCCAACTGTGGCGATCATAGGATTTCTTCCTCATATGGTCATCCTAGCTGGTATTGCGGTCTGTCTGCTCATATATTTGGTTGCTCTCACCTTGACGGCAATTTCCCTGGGCACTAATCCACAGATTCCACGGCCAACCACCCTCAAAGAACGTTTTATGATAGCACACGACAACTTACAGGTTGCAGTCCAGACTCGAGGGATTGATATTCGATGGCATGAGGACTTTTATACCTCACTCCTCCGCACCGGATTTGCTGCGCTCACAGCGGCATCAGAAGCAGTTTTCCTGAATGAGGGCAGAGCAGTCGAGGTCCGCCAATTCACATGGTTGGAAGAGGACAGGCTAGATGAATTTGACTCCGCTATGCGTGAGATGGGAGCTTTTCAAAATGCCTTCCCAAACAGTCCACAGTTCCAAATTTTGGAAGAATACGGCCTCCCTCCGTCAAGCCCTGGAGCCGCCGACAAGGGCGGCGTTTGGGAGTCGGGCTACTCCAAGGAAAGGAAATTCGACAAAAAGGACAACGAAGCCAAGGATTCGTTTGTCTACCCTACTCCTCGCGCTGGCGGCGTCGGCGCAGTACAGAGAACCACCCGTTTTTATCTGATTATGATATATCTCCGTGGGATCATGTTTCTTACAGCTGGGTATATTGGTTTTGGGATGGGTGTCTTACTGGACACGATCGGCATCACGGCAAGACCTCGCTGGCTTCGCCGAATTGTTGGTCGATCTCTGAAAGAGATGAACACGAGGCCAAGCGGACCGAACAACGAGGGCACACTCGACTTTTGGATTCTAACAAAAGACGGGAAGCTCACGATAGCGAGCAGTGATGAAGTTGATATTGAGCCCGAGGTGAAGAGACGGCTAATGACGGAATTTCCCGAAGAGAGGGTCGATGAACTACTAGACACAAAGCTGTATGAGTGGTGGACGTCGGGTGGTTGGTTTGGAACAAAAGACGACAGCGGAGACTATGAGCCATCGAATGCAGATGATAACGACGATATCACCAGTGTCATTTCGATGTCTACCGAAGCCAGCGTCTACAACAGTGACGCCGACGAAGATGCCTGGGAGTCTGAACCCGAAGGAGTGCGAACTCCAACTCAGTCACATACAGGACCGTCATGGTCATTCTCAGGCGTCCAAAGCAGAGAGTCAACACCAGCCTTTACCGATTCACCTCTGGATCCGGCGACGCTGGCCAGACTGTTGAATCCACCAGACAGGGAATCTCGGGAAGAGGCACGGATTCTTGCCTCACATCTTGCCACTGTGGCCTCCGACTCTCCTGGTGTCATGACTCGTTCACGCTACCGTCGCGAGACCGAAGCTGAACGGGCTCGAATCCTGCTTGCGGGACGCAGACCAGATCCCAGGGTCCCCGCGGTTTCATTGTACAAAGAACCGCAAACTTCGGGTCCTCGGCCGCTTACCTCTGTGGAGGAAGCAGAGGTCCTCGAATCACTAATCCTCAGCCGTCGACAGAAACATGCACCGCCCCCGGCGACGTCGAAAAATGGAAAGTCAGATCCAGGCACCGCCGAGGAAGACAGACAATTCGGACCGCCATGTGTCGTCTGCCAGAACGCCCCTCGAGCCATTATCGCGTGGCCATGTCGGTGTCTCTGTGTCTGTGAGGATTGCCGCGTTAGTCTGGCCTTGAATAATTTCGGCAACTGTGTCACCTGTCGACGGACCGTGCAGGGATTTGTGAGGCTCTACGTACCATGAGTGATTCTATTCAGAAGTGTAAGAGTTGTAACCATCCAAAGCGGAAGATATGCGATGCGATGCTGGCCAGAGCTAGTTCCATTTTCAGCGCACCTTTTTTTTCCTCTCTCTGTTAGATGTAGCTGAAACAAAGCAAAAGTTGGAGATAAGTCCATCCAACCAGACTCATTTATGCCCCTTCTCCCAGTCATTCACTCATTCGTCCATTCATCCATTCCGAGTATTTCTCTTACCTACAGCTCCTTTTCCCGCATCGGCGCAACCCACGAAATGACTATCGACCCCTGCGTGAAGAGAGAGGTATTAAGGACTTGGCGTCAGGGTCAGAAGTGTCATTGTCATTCAGGTCTCTCTTGACGCTCAGGGCGAGTTAAGCGCGTGCTAGGCAGGTAGATGGTTTCTTCTATTCATTGGCTCAGAGAACCCTGCCTCCCAGCGGAGAGAGTCCCTCGTTTCTACTACCAAAGAAGAGAATCAGAAGCGCTTGTCCATCTAGCGATACATCTACGCTCGCTCATCCTGACTTGCACCTTGCTTTCCAAAGAGGAAACCAAAAAGGCACCCAAAGACGAAACAACCGCCACAACGGGAGGGTGGCAGAAGAACAAACGAATAAACACGCATCGTAGCGCCCATAACATATTTTCGCAATGATACGCCACAACCCCCAACTTGTTAGCCCCGGGCGGTGGTGGTCGGTGCCGAGAGAAATGCTTCCCGTTCTGCAGCCCAACTACTCAAGAAAGATCCCAGCTCGTCTATAGCCGCATCTAGATCAAAGTTATCATCGTTCTCCACCAGTGCGAGCAGTTGTTGTCGTTGCGCATCCTGCTTGTTCGATGACGAGCTGGAGATATTGGAGTGGACTGGCGCGATCGTCGAACTCTGTAGGGACGCTTTGAGGATACTCTTCGGTGCCGACGCCCGGAGGAATTTAGGGGAGCTCGAGTCATTTGTGGCAGGGCAGTGTTCTTCTCCGTGCGGCGAAGCTGTCTTGTTAAACGCCATTGTGTCTTGGATCATGACTGTGGGTTTCGCAACTTTCAATGCCGATTTTATGGTCCCCCGAGATGACCCGGATGGTGTGCCATCGGTCGCGAAGGCAAGACGTCTCCGACTTTTGGGAGGCCCGGGTTTCGTGATGCCAGGAGAGCTTGGGGTTTGTTTCCCTCTTCCATCTCTCTTTGTAGACAGCGGAACATCTGACACACGATCCGTCAATAAACGAGACGTCTCGAGCTCGTCGACCTCCATTGGGGATTGTTGATGGTCATCTGGTACCGGCTTCTGTCTTTCTGTTGCAGATATGCTTTCCGCATCAAGCCCGGCATCTGCACCAGAATTCGTACCCTCAGCGGCGGATATTTCAGCGACGGCTGCATTTCCAAGGTCCTCTGTCCCGATTGCTCGTGGGCTACGATGGTCCAGAACTTCTTGAGGCGCTTGGCTGTGGCTGGAAAGATTCGAGGGCAAAGATGCGAACACAGGGAGTGGTGGCACCTGAGCAGATGGTAGATCTGTCGATATGCTTGATTTCGTTCTTTCTCTCGCCAAAGACCGGGGGCCGGGCTCAAATGGACTTGCTGGAGATGTGTCATGTGCATCGGGAACCGTCCCAGCAGTACTGTTGATTCTTGAAATCACGTCTCCTGCAGATTTCAATCTTTCCTCCGTCGTGTTTGTAGGTGGCGGTAAACCGAGAGAAGGTTCCAATCCGCCAGAATCAATTATGCCGTGAGAACCATCCTGAGCACCAGCGTGACGAGTGAATGGTTTTGTGACGGATGAAGCCGTATGTTCTGTTCTTTGTTTGGATTTTAGGATAGCATATTCTGCCCTAAACTCACTCACATCGGCTTGCTCGACCGCCGGGTGTTGAGTTTCAGGGTACTTTTGCCTTGGAGAAGTGTTGCAGTTACGTGCTCGCGGACGATGTTGCGGCGTCGTTGCGTTGAGAGGGGATGAAAGATTGCTCTTGAAGTCCACGGAGCGCCTCAACGCCGATGTGCTGCTAGAAAGTAGACCCTTGTGACCCGCAATCCTGACGATGCCATCCGTAGGGACAGGAAGATTAAGGCTAGGTCTTGGATTCTCCCTCCTCCGTGCCTTGCCTTCGCTTGGTGATGGAGGTGGCAAGGACTGCTCATTGTTCTCTGGCCTCCGATAAGCTGCATTCCTCTTCAACCAATCTTCAATTCTATTGTTTTCGGTAGGAAGGTCATTCTCCTGAAGATGTTGACCAACACCATTTTCCCCTTGTTTACTCTTTCTCCCTGGACTTCGACCACCCTCGGCAGGCTTATTCTTCGTTTTCTCTGTTGCAGGTTTGGATGTTTCTGCAAAGGTCCGAGGGGAATAGTCCGCCTTTGAGGCGGAGGGGTCTTGTTTCTTTCCGTGCGCAGGCTTGGTGACTCGTGCCAGACTTGTAAGCCTCTGCTGGCTTGCTACAGCCTCCTTGGCTTTATCGATGGTCTTTTCAGCCCAAGGATTCTTCCACCCGCTGTCAAAGGGCCCTCTGAGTTGAGCCGTCATAATGAATATAGGCTGGCCTCGGAGATAGGCTGTTGCATGGCTCTCAATTCGTCGCCGTTTTGCAGCCCGCTGCTCTCCATCCCCCGGGGCATCATTCGCTGGATCATAATATACGATTGTTTCATCACAGATTGGGATGTCTTCGGCAGAAACAGGTGAAACCGGCCTGGGATACTGAGGTAATGTGGGTTTCCGAGCGGGCATGGCCGAAACAAGCACAGTCGAACATGCAGGTTGCTGTCTAGGAAAACAAATCGTGCTTTAATCAGCAAACAAAACTATTGTACGAGGAGAATTAAGCAACAAAAGGCTCCAAGACTCCCGTCGCTGAACCCGGGATGCGCAGGTGATCAACTGTGTGGCGTTTAGCAACCTGGACTTGCATTTAGGCAGGGCAAAGTCCAATTAATCCCGAAATGATTAGCGAACGCGTCACGCGTCACCACCAACGCATGTCGTCATCACGTGTATATTTTCGCTTTCACGTTGATACCAGGCACTCTTCGTCAAAAAGGCAATATGCATTGTAATTTAACGGATATTTTTTTTGCTAATCCTGTCGCTATCGACTATCGACCTACTAATCCATATCCACAGGTGCTGGAAACCTTCTTGTTGCAGAATTGCATTGTGTCGACGTAAAGCAATTCGTAAAACCAATCGACAGGGCGTTTATCTCCATTACCATTCTGTGTACACCACCAGCAAAACTCTTGGAAGGGTATCAATGCAAGCAGCCGAATCAGAAACATCAAAGGCCATTTCCTCAACAGCCCTATTGGGAAGTAACACCATCGTAATAAGTTTTGTTGGCGCTGCCGTTTGTCACATTGCCGCCAATATTAACTCCGCCATTGGTGATCTCCTTGTTTGTGTCGAAAGCACGTTCAACTTGATTGCTGAACCCTGCAGTTCCCGCCGGAGCAGTTCCCGCAACGTTGCTGGTGGCAGTAGTACCAGTGACAGACGACAAATTATCGTCGTTGGGGTGGTTACCGCCACGGATAGTACCAGATGCTGTACTGTGTGGCTTGCGTGAGACAGACTTCGATTTGGGAAGGTCAGTTGACTCCTTCGCGTGGCCAATGCTGAAGACTGGAGATTCCCAACGATCGCCCTTGGCAGCAAGTTCCTTGTACTCTGTTGCCTTGGTTGACACTCCTCCTGGCAAGCTAATATGCTTGAAAATGGAGTCTTGCTTCGTCATAGCCACATTGACGTTGGTCTTGGACGCAACCTCCTTAGCCTTCTCCTTCTTTTCCGTCAACATCTTCTGGTAAGAGTTCCAGTAAGATTGCCAGATATTCGGAGCATTCTCAGGATCCTCCAGAGCTGCTTGCTTGCCGCGCTGTACGTCTTGATGGACACGGTAAGCGAAAGCATCTGCTTTGATGAATGTGTCCTTGATCTGTTTCTCCAACACCTTCTGAATCACTGGTTTCATTGTCTTCAGGAGCAATGGCTTGGCAATCTTGAACAGCAACTTATGGTTGGATTGCTTGACCTTCACGTTCAGATTCTTGATTGTAACGTCAACCTTGTCCACGGCAACAAAGTGGCTGCGATCTTTGGCATTGGCGTTTCGCGCAGAAATCTTGAAGCTGAAGCCTTCGCCACCGAGGAAGATGTCCATGACACCCTTGTCGGTGATGGATGGGAACCCTTGCTTCTTTTTGATGTAGTATGCAACGTCCTGTAGATCCATTTGGATGCCGGAACCCGCGATTGTGACCTTGTTCTCCTTCTTGTTGGACACTCCCTTGCGACCCATGCGGAAGTAATTGTCACTACCGAACTCGAAGATGTTGGGGAACAGGTTATCACTCTCAATCACGAGATTCTCAACCACAGCGTCGATCATGGGGTCCGATACTTCAATTCGGGGAATTGGAATATAGCGGGTATTTTCAAAGATTTCTGGGATAATGACCTCAGTGAGATCTTTGATCAAATGCGGCTTAAATGTCGCTTTGCCATTCTCATCGTTACCCAGGTCGAGGAAGAGTTTCTGGACAGCATCGCCAAAGGCCTTGTTCTGCGGATCCTGGTCGAACTGATCGCCGAGGAATTTAATCTCATCGAGAATGCGGTCGGTGTGGTTTCGGTAGCGATCGCGGAGAAGGAAGCGACCTTTTTCGCGGAGCCGATTGTACTCATCGGTAGCTTCGTCTTGGAGGATGTATCCTTGTTCTTGCAGGCATTTGCGGATGTATCTGTCCACGGCCTTGAACCAGTCCTTGAGTTCTGGGTCGCGATCGGCATCTCGATAGATGTTGTTCAAGGCATCAAAGAAGTCATCAGTGCTTGTGTAGTTGGCGAAGCGTTCAATCAACGTCTTCAATTTGATCAGCGCATGCTTGTTGTCACGGTAAGCGGCTGTACGAACCTTCAAGTTAGCTTCGGCACTCTTCAAGCGATCATCTTCATGAGCACCTTTAATAGTCCCAGTCGATTGCGACTGTAAGTTGTTGGCGTGGCCTCTGTATGTCTCGGCAAGAGAGAGCAGCGTGTCGATGGCTTGACGATCTATCAGATGGTTAGTTGAATGTTCTTGGTCGCACAACGTGACAACAACTTACAGTCAGAATGACCCTGGATTTCCACCACCATCTTCTTAAGACGCCAGATAGCTTGGTCCCGGCGCTCTTGGGGCACCTTCTTATTGAGGTAATTCTTGGTATGTTGGGATGTGGCTTCTTTGGCCTTCTTGACATCTTCCTGACGCTCATCGGGAATATTCTGCTGCGCACGGTCTCTCAGGGTCTCAGTCGCGTTCTGCAGCCCTACACGTCCGGCTTCTTGGTTATCCTGGGTAGGATGCTGTTGAGCGGTGTCCAGCCCCTGTTGGGCGGCGTCCTTGGCTTCCTCTCTGCTGAAAGGCTTGTTTTGGTTGTAAGCGTCACGCGCCTGGCTCTTCAGATTCTCTCTGGACAGATCAGGAACGTCATGCCAAGTGTTGTCTTCCGCGGGATGGTCGATTTGGTTCAGCTGGTCTTCGGAAGGATTCACGCGGCTGGCGACATTCTGAGCAGCATCGCCAGCCACATCCCGCATCAGAATAACAGCGTCATTGAGCAATTTGCGGAATTGACCGTTCGACAAAATGAGTCTGCCGAGGGTCTTGAGACCTTCCAGAGCTTCATCGCCGTGCTGTTGAGCAGTCGCCTTGTCCGTTGGGGCATTGGGAAGGTTGGCGTTGCTGCCGTCGAGGTGTTGTGTGTCCCAGATGAATTCTTGAAGGAGATTTCCATCGTTCTTGGACAGCAGCAGGTATTTGGCCTGGCGAATGACTTCTTTCAAATCCCCAACCAGCTTGCGGCCCTCCTCAGAGAGTTTTGGCGAAGGTGAGGAGAGGGCCTTGGATTCGAGTGCACTGTTCAGGGCCACATCGATCTGCTTGTTGGAAGGCACTTTGCCATTGGCAAAAGCTTGGTAGATGCCGTATAGTTGGAGTTTCTGGTTGATGTCCTTCTCCTTGACGGCGTTGTTCGTCGGCCGATTAACGGAGGCCATAGTGGTGTTCAATTACCCGTCAAAGCGACAACGGTGCAAAAGGGGTATCACAAAAGTATGAAAACAGAGAAGAGATATGGGTCGAGCCCTTGTTCAATCGCAGTTCAGGTTCTGTAGGTTTGCAAGCAGTTTTAGAATCTGCGGAGTGGTGAATACGAAATCAAGTATGGAGGAGAAGTGGTCTGAGAAGAACTATTAGCAGACCAGGTCAGACAGAGGAAGTGATGTAGTTATGAGTGAGAGATGGGGAGGGGTGTGCGTTGTGTATTACCTCACAGCCAAGTTGGTGGCACAGGGCGTCACTCGATCAAGGAGGCACGCGCAACACGACCTGGCTTCGTTCCAAGGTTGGGGGAGCTTCTGGGCCATAGTCTAGCCGCGATCGAGGAGGGATCGACAAAGCTGTGGCTTGATCTGAGCGGAACAAGACAGAAACAGAGTGGTTGAGCATCTTTTTTGGGTGGAAACAGTGTGGAGATCGAGGCTGGACAAAGCCAGAGCTGAACGATGAAGCGGCGAGGCGGATATTGATCGCGAGCTCCAGCGAAACCCAAAAGAACCATCATGACATCACCTGCCACCTTGGACATACGCACTACTGATGATATTGTACGTTAGTCTGGCAGCCAACAAAACATTAATGAAGTCCATTACGACTATGGCAGCGAGTCCGGGTTGCCAGCCACTTGTAGAGATCCTACTGTAGCCCTAGAGACAGGTATAGACTTTTGGAGTGAATTGGTCCTCCTCTTGCTGGCCGTTCGGATCTTCATCCCGGGTTCACTGTGCAATGAATGGATCTACGTAGCAATATCAGCCCTTTACAGATATCAATCAGACCAGAGGCAATGGGGGACGCTGAGCTAGAGAGCTCGACTTCAATGTTGCCACTACTGATGCGGTTGCCGTCAGTCAAGTTCGGTGTATTCGATGTTGGTTTTTTTTCTCTAGCCCTGGAATTCTGGACATTTTCGTCATTGCTGGTCCACCACAAAGGCCGATCACGATCAAACGAGGCATCGTTCGTCGCAAGGTCAAGCCCTGATCGAAAGACGGGAAAATCGTCGTTTGCTCTCCACAAAATATGACGTTTAGAAGGCTCTAGTCAAGTCCATATTGCGCAAGGCTTTGGAACAGCTTCCCACCAATCGTATCCACTGCCAAGTACTTGCTCCGCTGATGTGGCTAGGATGGATCGTTGCTCATTACCAAAGTACCTAAATCGGCCACCAGCCACATTTTGGCGAAGCATCACGTGGTGACGCGCTTTCTTCTCCAACGCACGCTTCCCCGCCTGTTCAAGCCCGCCAGACTGTGCGCGCAAACTCATACAGATTATCTATAAGGCTCACTTTATGATTTATTCCTTTATATGCCATATTGGGATAGCTCAGGTCTCTCCGTTCAGCATCTTATGTTATTGTTAATTGGTCGAGTTTGAGAGCGGCTGCCCTTCCATTCCAACCATGGCGACCAGGGCCTCTGGACTGAACGGTCCAAAGCGCCCATTCCGCGATCAAAAGCGACAGACCAGGCTACAGTTCTCGTCTCTGTCTTCCTCACCTCCTGGACCAGGGAGTCCCAGTCCACGTGTCTCAGATCTACGAGCTGGAACAGCATATAAGCGATCAAATACTCTCCCTCGCCGATCGGACGAGCCCTACCCCGAACCTTCGTATCCACCAACTCTGGAGGTTCTTGCGGATTCGCATCTCCAAAGTCATGGTATGGTCAAGTTTGGTACACCTTTGATACAACTGACCGCTTCCAGAACGATCTGAAGAACTGCATCAGACCTTATTTCCCTCGTCGCCCACAGTCCACCGAGTTTTACAAATCGATCTATCCGACGGCACGGACGAAGATGACTTGATCTCTCCCGCTCAAAAGAAGCGCAAATCGTCCTCTACCCTCCCGCCTACGCAAACAATCATTCTACCTTCGGCGAGGAAGTCGAAGCGGTTAAATCCTGACTCCTCCCCAGGTGAACATGAGGACTCGCAGTTACCTAGTTCCTCCTCTCCACGGAGGAGGTCAGGAAGATTACGTCGCAGGCCATCACCATCAGGAGGACAGTCAAGTCGGCAGTTGAGTCGCCCTGGGAGTTCTCGCTCTGTTCCGTTCGCGGATATCTCATCCCCAGCCTATCGCTCTACCTTTTCTGATATTGGATCTCCGGAGACGAGTGACGATGACGATCCTGTCATGACATCCAAGCCGACAACGCGGAGGAAAGCAAGACTAGATAAAGAAGATCCCTTCATCGTCAATGACGATGAAGACCCTTTCGTGATAGACCAGAAGAGCCTCGCGAGATCGACGCCGAAGCGGAAAAAAGGCAGGGGCGATGACTTCGTGGTGGATGATGAAGAAGTGGAATTTCTCTCTTCTGAGGATGAAAACGATAGAACTAGGGTACAACCACCCACAAAATCGCGAAGATTGAAGCTGAAGCACAGGTCTTCCAAAGCATCTAGGCGTCGAGCTAGGGAAGAACAGGATGAACTCGAGGAAGATCTGCACGACCTACAGGATTCAGTTCAGGAAGCAATTGAGCCAAGGGCGCGAACCAGAGGAGGTCCAGTCACAACTCAACGCGATAGGGCTCGAGAGCATTTACAGCTCCTGAAGAGACGGCGTGCAGGCGAAAAAATCCCACGTGTCCGCGACTCCGACGAAGAATCAGACGAAGGATTGGAAGGCGTTGACATCAACTTTATCGGCCAGCCACATCTCAACGTGTCCAGCGACCAGTCTTCGGATCCGGCGAGTGATGTGGACCAGGTAGACGATGACGAAGACCGACAAGAGGAGGAGGACGACGATTTTGTTGTTGACGATTCAAAAGGGAGACTCGGCCGACCACATTCGGATATGCCACTACAATTCACGTCATTTGCCTCGGCCAAACCGAGAGAACTCTTCCCTCACATTATCGAGTGGATGGTCAAGAACAAAATCGCGCCAGCGTTCAACCGCGATGATCCAGTGTATAACCTCGCCTTTGATCGGCTGGACGACCAAGTCAAAGCTCAAGCAGGAAGCAGACTTATCTCGGCAGCATGGGGTACCGACTTCAAACGAGCCATACTGGCAAGGCCGACTATGGAAGTCGTAGCATTGCCAGGCGAAGATGACGAGCACATGCGAACCTGCGATGCTTGTAACCGTACCAACAACCCTGCTCGCTATGAGTTCGTCTTCTCCGGCGCACCATACTATAAGAAAACACTTGAACCTGTCGATAATGAGGATGAGGACGAGGATGAGGGCGACGAACATGACGCGAATAATACCACCACCTACGACGAAAATGGCCATGCCATCTCTGCTCAGCAAACACGCTTTTACTTGGGTCGTTTTTGCGCTGCCAATGCCGAAATGGGACACAAACTCACGCACTGGAAATATCGTCTCAACGAATCCCTGATGACCTATCTCAAAGCACAAGGTGTTCTCTCAGCGGACGCCATCGTCTCGCGCGAACAGAGGAATAAAAGGAAGCGCGAAAAGGAAGCAGAGAAAATTGTGGACAGCATGCAGGAAACGGGTGTAATTGCAGACTTCTGGCGTGAATTTGAAAATGATCTCAACGACGCGAGGTTGGGGATGGAGGACTTTGAAAAGCGAGGTGGGAGGTCGAAGGGAAGAGTAGGGGCGATCCGAGTGACGACGGGTGGACTGGTCAGGGAATGGAATAATGACAAGTATCGGCTGACGAAGGCCTTGGAATCGGATTCAGAGCAGGAGTAAGAGGCTGGATATAAAAGAGAAATCCAATGGGGATGCACGGGCACATGAACGCACGCGAGAATGCTGGCGGAATATCGGGATATCAAGCATCCTTGAGCACACCTCTGACACCTTAACTCGTCTCTGGATGTCTCGTGAACGAGAAGTGAGGGCATGCATTGATTTTCTATCTCGGAGCTGCGACCGAGAGCTGCTTGGACATGATTTGGATGGAAATCACTCTGCCTATTCGTTAGTTGGGCTGCAAAATAGACAACATAACAAGTGGCTTAGAGCTGTAGCAACATACACAAACATACAGACGCAGACGAGACCGATTCTCTACATCTTCCCTCTTCTCTTCTCTACCTACGTATCTCATACTCGAGACTTGTGACTCGTGTCGTGAGTACCTAGGTATTTCATCTCATCATTTATATGAAGATGCCATTAAATGCAGCAATTTCATGAGAAATAACGCAGAAGAGACGAAAAGAGGGATGGAGAGAAGGTGGTTAGAGACGTCGTTCTAGTCTTTGCTTGGGAAGTACGTGTACATGGTGAAGTGGTGAAATAGTAGTTGGGATTTTAAAAAAAGGACCACGGCATAACAGGCAGAGAGGCAGAGAGGCTGGCTGGCTGGCCGGCCGGTTGGTTGGTTGGTGTATTTTCACCAAAGAGGTATATATCACAACGACAACAACAAGAATAAGACTCCTTCGAAGCCGACTAACTTGTTGTCCTTGGTCTGATGCGGGTGATTTTCCATCCTCCACCACCACACCTCTTTCGCTGCCCGGCCTGCGCAGCCATGTAGTATTGTACAAGATACAAGATTGTATTCGTGACTTTGTTTCTGGGGGGGCTCGACTTTTGTCTTCCTCCACTCATCGAATGGACTTCCCGTCCTTCATCTTTGACTCAGAACGGTGCCTTCAAAGACGTACCCTCGGTGGCAAGACGCAGGCGAGAGAGTGGCACACTCTTCGCAAACGGAGTTCCGGGTTGACAATGCAAATCTGCCTGATTTGCAACTCACAAGAAGAGGCAGGAGAGCCTGGGTGCTGCCCGGGCCTTTGCCCCAAGAAAATCGCAGCAGGAGTTGACGCCATTCCATCCAATCCCATCCTCCCCATCCGGATTCTCTTTCGAGATTGATATTACAAGGCCGGCTTCGCGTCCCCTTGTCCGGGTTGCTGGCCGCCCTGGATGATTCCTTGCGTTCCCTGTTCCATTATCCCCCTCTGTCGCTCCTCCTCCATGTACTGCTGCTCCTCGCCCAGCGCAAGCGCATAGGGGATCCCCAAGAGTAAAATGCTGGTCGCGACGACCCACAGGCTCTTACCACCGAAGGTGATGGAGGCGTTAGCTGCGGAAAATACGGTCTGGGTGGCAGAAACCAGGCGGGCGCGGGTTTTCGGGGGCACGATATCGCGGAGCGCGGAGAGACGGTCAATGATTGACTCGTCTAGGGGAGCCTCGACGGCGTCGTCGTCGGAGATTTCGGAGTCTGGATTAGATGAAAAAATTAGATCCTGAACGTCGATTTTGTTGCTGTGGGTTGCGAGTGAGCTGGAAGAAAATCGTCGAAAGGGTGAATTGATCATTGGTCCTCGACGGAGAGGGACCAGATATAGCGATGGCATAGCAGGGCAAAAAGCATGTGAAAAGCGGCGCAAGGGGGTATATTTCCTCACCAGTGTCAGTGTAATCTTCATCGTCGTCTGCCAGCAGAGCGCCGTCCTTGGTCGTATCTGGCTTGTTGATGAAGTGCTCATCTTCGAGTTCTTCAAGCTTGACCATTTTGCTTTATTTTAGGGTGGCTAAGATTCCAACACCAACGAATATGAAAGATATTAGAGCGTAGAATAAGATGGCTGTGGATGTAGACGGCAAGAGTGATGAATTTATTGAATGATGAAATACTTTGGTACGAGAAACTTGAAGCTCGCATGCTCTTTTCTCCGACTGCGAAATTTCGGTGCTGCGGTCGGGTGGAGCAGGAGGTCCCGAGACGCACATCCTTCTTGTTGTCCAAGTCTCTAGTCGTCTACTAGGTGCAAGAGTGTAGGGGTGTCTAACGGGGTGACATATAATTTTATTCTGCTTCGGGTGTTCGCATGCTAATGCATATTTGACCTCAGGGCTTTTGGTCCACCGACCAAACCATTGCACTCGTCAGTTGATACCTCTGAACTGCGCGCTATCGAGAACGAATCATGCTTCCCGCCTCGTCAGCCACGAATCTAACTGAACGCATTGATAATCTCGACGACTTTGGTGCGGAAACGTCAGCGATTTCATTCGGTCATGTAGGATGTTTTCCCAAAATGTTGACTTACAGGCAGGTTTCAAGCTGGCACCGCCGACCAAAAATCCATCCACATCAGGCTGCTTGGCCAAATCCCTGCAGTTCTTCTCGTTGACGCTTCCACCATAGATGATTCTGGTGTTCTCGGCGGCTTCGGGCGAGACAGCGTCCTTCAACCATTTTCTGATGGCTGCATGAACTTCCTGCGCTTGTTCTGCAATGATTCGGATGCGTCAGTCACTCCTCACACATGTCGGGGAATCTTTGCTTCATACCAGTCGTTGCAACCTTGCCTGTCCCAATGGCCCAGATAGGCTCGTATGCGATCACCACATTCTTCCAGCCATCCTTGCCGATAGACTTGTTCACCGCGTCCAATTGTCTTGTGACAACATCGACCGTGATACCCTTTTCCCGCTCCTCGAGACTCTCACCGCAGCACAGAATGACACCAATTCCGCCGTCGAGTGCGGCTTTGGTCTTGCAAGCCACGAACTCATCTTCCTCACGGAGAATCGTTCGGCGTTCCGAGTGACCCAGCAGTGTCCATGTGATCCCACTGTCCTTCAATTGCGCCACTGAGATTTCACCCGTAAAAGCCCCGTTGGGCTTGTCGAAGACATTTTGAGCTGCGACTTCAATGTTCGGGGAGAGGTGTTCGCGGGCCAGCAGGAGGTACAGACTCGGGGGTGCGACGACGACTTCGGTGTTCGGGTCTTGTGGAAGACAGTCAGTCACGATCTTTCGGTAATCCCTCTGAAATGGCATATTCAAGCAAGTGGGGATCGAGGGATTAGCATACCGAGCTTGGCTGTGGACAAGTTGTGGACAATCTCTTTGATCGACTTGATCGTCCCATTCCTGGTGGAAGTGGTGTGTCAGTACTCGGGAAACGCCCTTTGACCGGTTCCTAAAGAGCGCAGGGTCTGTGTGTTTGTCCTCACTGCATACATTTTAAAGTTGCCTCCAACAAATGGTTTTCGACCCATCTTGAAAGGTTTGCAGGAGGCTGAAGAGGAGAAGGAGTAACTAGACTGTTGCTGGTGATAGACCGCTATAAAGTTAGGATGAGGATGAACAGGCTGAAGAGTGTAAAGACACGGGAGAATGAGTATCCAGGAAAAAGAATATCTCGGAGAGCGAAGGAAAACTATGAATAGTGGAAATAGCAGAACGGTAGAATTGCTTTTCTCTCGCCCTCTATTCTGTTGACATCGGGGACAACAGGGCGGGGCTGCCAATGATGGTCGGTCGAGGGGTAGTTGGGGTGAGGGAAGCTCTTCCGAGCATCTCGGTCCATCCTTTCCTCCGTTTTATTATCGTCCCTCTGGTGTATACAAAGTAGCCTTCCTCTGGATAGATCTAGATGACTGTATAAGAGAGCATGGTGACATTCTTTTCAACACCAAGCCGCAGCGCTGGTAGTTGATCCTGACTACACCGCGCTTGGAGGCTATACTTGTGGTACCCCGACCGCAGCCGGAAACAATGTATTTCCTCAGACCACGCCACTCTTCTACCGCTATACAATTAGATCTCAAGTGTCAAGGGCTGACAGTATAGGTAGATATATGGCTAAATCGATCACAAGTGAACGCTCCAGTCAAGTTCTGACATGACGACCAGAAGTGGAAATGCACTATTTATTTTGTAGTCCACCGTACTATCTACGTCACCGCAGAGACTTTTCCGAGACGCAAATATCGAAATATTTTCTACGTTGCGAGATTGGAATAATAGGCGGCGAACTGGATTTGTCTGGAAAGTCGATGGTTAGAAAGGACGAATAGTTGAAGCGACAACTAATTGACAACCTTCATCCTCGCACCGCTTCGCCTTTCACCCACACTTATTCTTCTCTCCCTCCATTTACCCACCACGCCATCGATTCGTTGCGCCATCTGGTTGTCTCCCTCCATTCCACCACTGGTCAGCGGTCATGGCAGCCAAACGCCCAGATAACCCTGACGGGTTGCCCGCAAAGCGCCAGAAGACCGCTGGCGGGCTCGATCCTAAAAACAATCCTTACCTTGCTCACTGGCACGACAACGATGTGAACGGGTACACAAACGGCTCCTCAACCCCTCCGATTCCCAGCGACAGCCCTCTCGCCGACTTCCAACGACACAAGACCACGGCTGCGTTGGCTCACAAAGCCGAAGATTCAAAAACCAATCCTTTCACAGGCCGTCCTCATTCCGATCGATACTTCTCCATACTGCGTACCAGAAGAGATCTGCCTGTCCATGCCCAGCGGGACGAATTCCTTCAGTTGTACCAGAAATCCCAAATTCTAGTTTTCGTGGGCGAAACTGGGTCAGGAAAGACGACGCAAATCCCTCAGTTTGTTCTCTACGATGATTTGCCACAGCAAGAACGAAAACTCGTCGCATGCACGCAGCCTCGTCGAGTGGCCGCCATGTCGGTAGCGGAACGTGTTGCCAACGAGCTGGACGTCAAACTTGGCGAAGAGGTCGGATACAGCATAAGATTTGAGGACATGACAAGCCAAAAGACGATACTCAAATACATGACCGATGGCATGCTCTTGAGAGAGGCCATGAACGACCACGAGCTCACAAGATACAGCACGATTATTCTCGACGAAGCCCACGAGCGGACATTAGCTACAGACGTGTTGATGGGTCTATTGAAAGAGGTGGTTTTGCGTAGGCCAGACCTCAAGTTGATCATCATGTCTGCAACCCTGGATGCTCAGAAGTTTCAGAGATACTTCAACGATGCGCCTTTGCTTGCTGTTCCTGGTCGAACACATCCTGTGGAGATTTTCTACACCCAGGAGCCTGAGCCAGATTACGTTGAAGCTGCTATCAGAACCGTTTTGCAGATCCATGCGACGGAACCCGAAGGTGATATCTTACTATTTCTGACCGGAGAAGAAGAGATCGAAGATGCATGCCGAAAGATCTCGCTGGAAGCCGACGAAATGATTCGAGAGGCTGACGCGGGCCCGATGAAAGTGTATCCCCTGTATGGCACGTTGCCTCCTGCACAGCAGCAAAAGATCTTTGAACCTGCCCCGCCACCGCGGCGACCTGGCGGTCGAGCGGGTCGCAAATGCATTGTTGCCACCAACATTGCAGAGACGTCCCTGACCATCGATGGGATTGTCTATGTGGTTGACCCTGGATTTTCTAAACAAAAGGTGTACAATCCACGCATCAGGGTCGAGTCCCTCCTCGTTTCGCCCATCTCGAAGGCTTCCGCTCAACAGAGAGCTGGTCGTGCCGGTCGTACTCGGCCCGGAAAGTGTTTCCGACTGTATACCGAAGGTGCCTTTAAAAAGGAGCTGATCGAGCAAACTTACCCTGAAATCCTTCGTTCCAATCTCTCATCTACTGTCCTGGAGCTGAAGAAACTTGGAATCGACGACCTCGTCCACTTCGACCTGATGGATCCTCCCGCTCCTGAGACTTTGATGCGGGCATTGGAGGAGTTGAATTATCTCGCATGTCTGGACGACGATGGTAACCTCACAACCATGGGCAGGCTGGCCTCTGAGTTCCCTCTTGATCCAGCACTGGCAGTCATGCTCATCTCTTCCCCCGAATTCTACTGTTCGAACGAGATCTTGAGCTTGACCGCTTTACTGTCCGTGCCTCAAATCTTTGTCAGACCTGCGTCCGCGCGAAAACGGGCAGACGAGATGAAAAATCTCTTCGCTCACCCTGACGGCGACCACCTGACCATGCTCAATGTCTATCATGCTTTCAAAGGCCCTGAGGCGCAGGCGAACCCGAGGCAGTGGTGTCACGATCATTTCCTGAGTCTCCGAGCTTTACAGTCTGCGGACAATGTGCGTCTGCAGCTAAAGAGAATCATGGAGCGGGAAGAACTGGAATTGATGTCAACACCATTCGAGGACAAAAAGTATTACGAAAACATCCGACGCGCACTCGTGTCTGGCTTCTTCATGCAGGTGGCAAAGAAAGAAGCCAACGGCAAGACTTACACGACCGTGAAAGACAACCAAACTGTACTTTTGCATCCTAGTACGGTCCTCGGCCAAGAGAGCGAATGGGTGGTTTACAACGAATTTGTCCTTACCAGCAAGAACTATATTCGGACGGTGACGAGTGTTCGAGGCGAGTGGCTACTCGATATTGCGCCAGGTTATTATGACATAGACAGCTTTCCCAAGGGCGAAGTCAAGACGGCGCTTCAGAGGATCGCGGAGAGGGTAGCTCGACGGCAAAAGATGAAAAGCGGACGATAGAGATGCAGTCAGGGTCCAGATACAGCTTAGAACACATGCAACACATGCCACACATGGCCACCATGGCACTGCAGCATCAAGCGAAGTAGTAGCCAGCATAGGCGTATAATTAGGCTTCACACCTCGAGAGGCGGAAGACGCTAGAGCACTTTGCAGCACCGACAGATCTGGACCGATGTTCGAGCCGGATTGTGTTTTCCAAGCGGTGAAGCAAGTCGCCTGCACCTTGTCAGCATCTCCTAAGCCATTGCTTTA